AGATAAATCGAACCCAGAAGTTCGATTGCCTGCCGCCGAACCAGCGCGGTAAGTATAGACAAGCCCTAAGGTAAAAGGCAAAGCCACATCTTTGTCCGGCCTGACTATTTTGGAACAAAATTGCACCAAGCAAAATAGTTTGACTGGTCTCACTTTCAAGTGTTGATGAGGTCTTAATGGGTGGCCCTTCTGCAGTGATAGTGTTAACCTGTACCAAAAAGAGCCAGGAAATATGGGGGTGGGGTGTTGGATGAGAGAAAATAAGAGAGAAGGGACTGGGAGGGGGGGGGGGGGAAACCAATTCCACTGGGCCCTACTGCTTTTGTTCTGAAACTTTTTCGCCAGAGTAGACCTGTTGGCAAATACTTGGATGTTATGGTCTATGAAAAAGCTAAAGTCAGCCAACCAATCGACCAAATGTTTTCACTGACGTTTTTTGGATGATTTTTTATTTTGTTTTAAATCCCGCTGTTTTGCTCAATTTTTTTCTTGCAAACTTCTCCATTTCATCCCAAAGGCATTTAAAACAAAACACAACAAACTTCAGACAGCTGACCCAAAGTCCTTTGACGTCAATGGGAGTTGTTCCATTAGGATCAATCCATGAAACTATGTTGGCTACTGAAGTGTAGAAAGCGGCCAGCAAAACCGTTCCTTTTGGTAGCCCGCTGGCCTCCTGGGGCCACAGGATAGATGTAGCTGCTCCCCAGCTCTGGTCCTTACTTTCACAAAGGATCCTGGGTCCCCGAGGTGGTTTTCATGTCTCCGTGCCAGGGCAGAGCTCCGTTTGTGGTGGAGGAAAGCGGTGTCCCATCGAGGCTGATCGGGATCCGTTTGCTTTGTTGTGCAATTAAATAATCATTGTCGGTTTAATCCTTTAATAAACTTCCCTGGGACACAGAACGCTCGTGGGGTGCCTTGGGGCTCTCTCAGCCTTGTCTCGGGCATCTGCTGCCAGCTGCGCTCAGGAAACCCGAGAAAGAGCTGGGAGAGGTAATTGTCTACCTTAATCTCCTTTCGAAGAGGTGATTGATGGGAATTGAATTCTGATGAAAGACTGCTGGGTTGGCAGCCTTGGAGATGGGATGTTCTCTATCAGCCCCATGGGAGAGATACAGGGCGGGAGTCATCTGCACCAACGCACCATGCCACCCATGGCGCAAGCCCTGATCTTGTTGAATCAGTATTTTGGGATGAGAAGGGGGCGAATTTCCAACCAGGGCCTGAGATCTAAAGCTCAGTGTTGGCACATGAGAGTGCAGGAGACGGGAGAGGACAGCTAGAGAGAAGAGCAGGACATTGGGAGAACAGAGGTGCATGCAAAGTCTTGAAAGCAAGAGGATCTGGAAGTAGAGACGCACAGCAGGACGCCGGCGAGCGGGTGGGAGCTGGGAGAGGAGGGATGGCTTGACTGAGGACTTTAGCAATGTTTTGGCTAGATGGGAGAGGGAGGCAGGGAGCCCACCCAACTACGGGCTCTCTCATGTACTGATCATCCGATAGCGAGAGCAGATTAAACACTGATGCTCTTTATGCATCCGAAGAAGTGGGCTGTAGTCCACGAAAGCTTATGCGCTAATAAATTTGTTAGTCTCTAAGGTGCCACAAGTACTCCTGTTCTTCTTTTTGCGGATACAGACTAACACGGCTGCTACTCTGAAACCTTTCAAAAACAAGAGACCCCTGGTGCTACAAGGGGTGGTGCAGCTGTGTTCAATCCACCCCAGGGATCCTGCCTCTTGACATAACTCCTGCTGGGTCTACACTTCTCCCCACCTGCTTTCTCTTTGTTCCAAGGCAGGAACAACCATGCATAAGTGCTGGTTAATCGGTTTGGGTCGGACGCCGCGTTTGCTCTTTGTCGCTATGTTCTTTGCAGGCAGGGCCATGCCGGCCTCCACTCTTGGGTAAACGCTTTAATTAAAGCAGGCTTGGTACAGAAAGGGCTCTCAGCGGCTCTGTTCCCCACCCAGCCAAGGCGCGGCTTGGTGTCAGCAGAATGCCATAGCCCAGAGCAGATGAACATGTTTACAAGGTTGAGTTAATGCTCAGGCAGACGTTAACAGCCCGGGAAGTTAGTGGAAAGAGACCCATTGAATTTAACGGATGTAGGATCAGACTCTTTGTTAGAGCGAGAACATGGTAATTCCCGAAGACTTTGCTGGAGCTGGTAGCAAAGAGAGAGACAAAGACATTTAGCCTATTAGAGGTGTGTGGATGTTTATTGCAAACCCATGAAGGGCAAGAGCACATCAAAACTAATGTTTGAAGTGCCTATGAGCCTATGGATGTTGGTAGTTTTGGTGCATGAGCCCCCAGGGACCGGTGCAGCAAAGGACGACCTTGTTATCCCTGTCTAAGCATGTACCCAAAGCCTTTTTAGTCTCCAAGGCAACAAAATATTCCATGAGTCTTGGCTCTGCAAAATTGCAGCTGAAGCTCTCTTCCCCGGGGTGCCGTGGGACCCTTTTAACAACCGAATTTGGGCAGGAGTGCCACTATGCACCGTAGCTGAAAGGTGGCATCGTGGGCACCACAGTACCCCCTAGTGCCAGGCTGGGTTTGGCTTGACAGATCCCAAGCTATTGAGCTGGTGTAAATCAGTGTAGCTCGTTAGCCCCAGAAGTGTGGCTCTGGGGAAGATTAGATAGCAAGCGGTGATGCGTCTATTGCTTTCTTTGCAGTCTCCCCCAGGGGCCATTCAGGAAGCCATGGAGGTAGCTTTAGATGCTGGATATCCGCACTTCAACTGTGCTTATTTTGACCAGAGCAAGGCCGACATCGGAGAAGCCCTTAAAAGGAAGATGGGGGAAGGGAGGCTGAAGAGAGATGATCTTTATGTGGTGAGCAAGGTAAGCCCCGTTTTCCTTCCAAACAGAAGCCCAGGATTGGCAATTCTTTCTAAGTTACCCCAAGACTTGGGATACTGGGTGGTTGTTGTTTTTTCTCATGGCCTCTGCACCTGAACTCATGATACGGTGAAAATTTCAGCCTCCGTTAAATAAAAAATCATTTCCTAACCCTCTTGGTTATTCATAGAAGCTGCAAAATGAGATCCACGAAAGGCCAGAAGGCAAATAAGACCCTATGGCTTTTTAAGCCAATCTCATGGATTCTGGGGGACCTGACTCATGAAGGCTTGATGTTGGCTGTACTGTATGCCTTGTGGATTGAAATGCAATTATCAAAGAGCTGCCACTCCCAGTGCAGAACAACAACTTTATTAAACTTTCTAACTTACTAGAGATGATCAAAAATGGACAATGGGACCGGTTTCCATTGGAAAATGCAATTTTGTCAAAATCTAAACCATTTTGCAGAAACATCTCAATTTTGGTGAAATTGCGATGGAAAAATGTCAAAACACATTGTTTTGACTGTCTCATTTCATTTAACTTCCACTTGCATATTTTTGTGTTGTTCCAGACTGTATTATGTTGACCTTAGCAAAATGAAAAGTTTCAATGTTTCCAAATAGAAATTTTTCAGAATTTTCACCCTACTAGAAATTTCAATTCGTTGGAATTTTCCACAGGATTCAAATTCCGTTTTTTGCCCAGTAGTGCTCCATGTTCTTATATGCCATTCGATAGTTAATAGAATTAGTGATAGCTACATATATACAAACATCTCACTTTTGTGGAGCACACCCATAGCTACTTTAGAATCAAAAAATGTCAGGCTGGAAGGGACCCTAAGAAATCATCAAGTCCAGTCCCTTGCACTGAAGCAGGACCAGGTAAACCTTGACTATCCCTGACAGGTTTTGTCCAACCTGGTCTTAAAAACCTCCAGCAAGGGGATTCCACAACTTCCCTTGGAAACCTGTTCCAGGGCTTAACTACCCTTAGAGTTAGAAAGGTTTTCCTAATATCTAAGCTAAATCGCCTTTGCTGATGTTTTAACCCATTACTCCAATGAACATGGAGAACAATGAACATGGAGAGCAATTGATCACATTTTTTTATAACCGCCCTTCACATATTTCAAGACTGGTATCAGGTCCCCCCTCAATCGTCTTTTCTCAAGACTAAGCTATATTTATGATATTATCTCAGACTCTGTTTATGATGCAAGTAACAAAGGCCCATGGTAGGTTCCTACAACAATAAGCGGCAATGGAATGCTAAATAGAAGAGATTCCCAAACTGGGTGTACCTGAGAGCGGATTGGTCACATGGTGCTGGCTCCTCCTCCTGGTTTCTTGCTGAGAAGAGCAGACCAATAGGAGCAGGGATATGGAATGAAGAGCAACATTTGACTTGTTGCTCTAAGGCCCGGTGGGAACACATAATCTGTATAGAGTAAAATGCTGGGGAAAGGGATGTCGGTTTTGCTCTTGGAGAGGAAGGATGGTGCTGGGGTGAAGTCACTGGACTGGGATTCAGGAGATCTGGCTTCGGTTCCTGGCTCTGTCACACCCTCCCTCTCTCTGTGCCTCGGTTCCCCATCGATACAGCTCATTATACTCCCGTTCTCCTACTTTTTGTCTGATTATGCCCCCATATCACAGAGGCAGCCTGGTCCCGTAGAACAGATGGTGGATTGGGAGTCTAGAAATCTGGGCTCTATCCCTAGCTTTGCCACTGACCTGCTATGTGACCTGGAGTAATTTACTTCCCCTCCACGTTTCTCCTCCCACCCCGGGTCTGTCTCTTCTATTTAGACTGAACTCTGCAGAGCAGGGACTGCCTCTCTACATGTGCGTATAGCGCCCAGCATAAGGGGCCCTCATTTTGGTTAGGTGCTCCTGGAATACAACTAATAATGCAACTATCTTCTCTGGGCAGCTGTGGAACAGCTTCCACGCCCCACAGGATGTGAAGCTGGCTTCCCTGGAAACCCTGAGTTTGCTGAACCTGGATTACCTGGATCTCTGTCTCATGCACTCTCCAATGGGCATTGGGGTAAGGTGGATTCTCTCTGAGCTCATGGCATTTATTTCCCTTTCTTCCTTCTAGCCACACAGCAGTTTACATGGTAATGAGTCAGTGCAGGACAGAACTGGGTTTCCGTTTGTAATTGTCAAGAGGCAAAACAAGGAAGGCTGGGTTGTCCCTCCGTGGCAGGTCGACAGCCCCTGAGTGTGTTGTCTGGTTTCCTTTTGCACTTCTAGGAAGCATGCTTGAGTGGCTAAAACGCGAAGCTGGGACTCAGGATTACTAGGTTCAACTCCCAGTTTAACCACAGACTTATGACGCGACCTTGGGCAAATCACTTGATAGACCCTGGGCCTCAGTTCTTCCTGTGTCATATGGAACTAACATTACTGTCCTGCCTCACAGGGGCATGAGGTGCTCAGATAGTATGGTGATAAGATAAAGGTTCTGTTGCACCTTCCATCCAAGTAGCTAGAAGGGCTTTAGAAAATTGGACTAATGGGGCCACATTGCCTGACTTAGATGGATGGATGGCATAAGCTGACAGAGAACTTGGCTCATGTAGGCCCAAGGTGCCCATGGGAGACAGTTAAAGGATCGCTTCCCTGGCAGCTGGAACGCTGCCACCTCTGGGGTGGCACACAGCAACTATTTAACAGCAAAATAATCTAGGCTGGGAAATGAAGAAAATGAGAGGATCCAGTTGCCACCTCTGGGGTGGCACACAGCAACTATTTAACAGCAAAATAATCTAGGCTGGGAAATGAAGAAAATGAGAGGATCCAGTTGAACTGTAGGGGAAATCGAGGGTAATCGGGTGTAGGTGGGTCTTCTGGATGGGACATAGAAGAGTCATCCTGACCAGGCATGATCAATGAGGATCTCTTGGCGATTTTGGTAAGAGGAGGGGGACTTGTGAGAACACCAGCGTTACACTCCATTGGGGTAATTACGCTTACTGCTGAATTGGATCTGCACTGACTCAGCAACACCAGAGCAGGGGAGTCTCCTATCCAAGTCGTGACCCAGCCTCGTTCTCCTTTGAGCTCAGGAGCCTGGACTGCCTCGCCGTGACTGGAAAAGCGGGAGCGGGGTCAAGCAAAAAGGCCAGGATATTCATTCTCTAGAAAAGCCTCATGCAGACCTCGCTGACGCTGCATCATCCAGCGCCCCTGCCTTTCTTTAGCATTTCCTATTGCAGTAACTCTGACAGAGGTGGTGAGTGTTCCCCGGGGATGGACGGGCCAGCTGGGGTGTTTGATGCCTCGCCACTCATTCAGGTCAGGACTCTCAGCAGTTCCAGAGATGCACATGGGATGCTTCCCCCTAGAAAGTGGCTCTTGATCAGTTCCCCTGCAGAATATCAACAGGGAGCTCGTGCCTCAGAAGGACGGGTTGCTTCTGCACTCGGATGTGGACACCTGGCGGGTAAGAGGCAGCGCATCAGGCCAAGTGCAATGATGTTCTTTGCGGGTCACGAGCAGGAACAGAACCTGGGACTTTTTACATCTCAACCCAAGCTGCTACCATGTGAGCTAAAGGCGCAGTAGCAATGGGATAAGGCACCTGAGCTACATGGAGGTATTTAGGATGGAGGGGGTCTCTCTAGGGTTCCTTGAAGGGGTCCCTTACCAGAGGAAGCCCTGATTTCCCACCTCATACATGCATTGGTGACGTGCACTATTGATGGATACCATAAGCACACAGGGCCTGATCCAAAGCCTTTTGCAGCCAGTGGAAAGACTCTCATTGGCTTCGATGGGCTTTCCCATAGCGCACAGTGAGCGGAGAGGAAAGAGCAGCGTAGACTGCCCATCCCCCTCCAGTCGTAACGATCTTCATGGCTGGCTCGTGTTCCTCGCATATATTTCCCATCAGCAACCTCTGCTGTCTGGTTGCGAGAGACAGAGAGACAGGCTGAACGCGCCCGCCGCTGTAGCAATTGTTAATTACCAGCAAGGTTAAGAGCCACGAGCTGGGGCAGGGTTTTCATCTGGCTGGAGATAATGGAATGGCCTCATTTAAAATGTACAAAGGCTACGAGAAGGAGCTAATTCGTCACGGGAAGAGACAGGCGGCGCTCGCATGCAGACGGAAATATTTTTAAACCTGTTCCGATGGGGAACTAGAGCTACGATTCCAGTCAGCTCCATTTCACCTCTGTCGTTCTGGGTGTGTGCAGAAGGCCGAATTCGGGCACATCACTGCAGCTTCAGTGGCAAAGCTGTCCTGTGCGGGTGCCCGAGGCGGAGGCTGCGTTTCAAGGTGCTCTGTTCTCGGCACTGCCTGAAGGCCCAGCCTAAGTACGTGGAGAGATGGAGATCTGCCACTTGAATCCGATTGATCACAGTCGTCCCAGAAGCTGCATGCCTGCCCTGGGTGGGCGTGGAGGACAGAATGGTGGGAAGGATGATCGGGACCCTCTTCTGCCAACGTAAGCACCAGGGCAACATCTTCTGTGGCACATGAGAGCACCGGTCGCTGGGCCTGGTCCAGGCACCTGGGCCCATCTCCTCAAAGGTATACAGGCACCAGTGCCTCACTCCCTTGGAGGATCTGGGCCGACGTTCCTAAGGAGGTGGTGGGCTTTGACACAGGTGCTGAGCACCCACAGCTCCAGGTGGAGCCAGTGGCAGCTGCAAGGTTCCAGCACTCTGGCAAAGCCAGCCAGTGCATTGTCACTCGCCCGTTATTCCAGCAGCCCTCTGGGTTTCCCCAGCTGTGCGGGTCCAGCCCATGACCTGCTGCATAGAATCCTAGAAGATCAGAGTTGGAAGGGACCTCAGGAGGTCATCTAGTCCAACCCCCTGCTCAAAGCAGGACCAATCCCCAACTAAATCATCCAGCCCTTCTTTGTTTTCTTGGCAGGCGATGGAGAAGCTGTGGACGAAGGCCTGGTGAAATCGATGGGGGTTTCCAACTTCAACGTCTCCCAGCTGGAGAGGCTGCTGTCCGTATGCAGGATCAAACCTGCCGCCAACCAGGTAAAGGCTTGTGATAGGGCAGCGTCTGAGTTACACCTGTAACGGTGTAGTTTGCCGTGGTGGTCTAGGCTGGTCCCCGGATATGAGAGAGACAAGGCGGGTGAGTCTCCTTCAGCTCTGTGCAGCTCGAAAGCTTGTCTCTCTCACCTGCTCTGCCTGTAGCAATGGTGTCTCCGCTCCAGGGAGTGCTTATGCTAGCTTTGCATCGGGCTGCTTATAGTTGCAAATAGTAATTGGGAAGCTGCCACTGTGGCGTCCTCTGTACTATGCTAAGCAGATTTTGGGTGCTTCATGCAGCATTCGAATGCCTGGGTTTGTAGCTTGGGCAGAGCCAGAGAGGTTGTGCTCGCTCTTTGAGGGCTTGGCCCCAAAAGGGCTTCTTTGTATCCCAGAAGCACAGAGCCCAGCCAAGCTTGGGACCCCACTGTGCTCAGTGCGAGACAGTCCCTGCACTGAAAAGCCAGCGGTCCAAATAGACCAGATGGGCGAAGGGGGAAGTTACTTGCTCAAGGTTAGTGGCACAACTGGGAATAAAGTCCAAGTCTTGTGGCTTCGAATCGCCCCTAACTAGGCCAAGCTGCCTCTTAACGTGGGGGGCGTGGCGTGGTGTGGAGAAGGCTGAGAACCACCGGCCTAATCAATTAGGTTCTGCCTTCCTGCGGCCGGTCATGTGTCCTTTCTCCAAGCCAGCCGCTGTCACTGGCCAATAGCTAACGCTGCAGAAGGAGGCCCTGGGGAATGCTGTGAAGGGGGATTGATCTGGCCTGATCTGGCAGAAAGCTGCAGCCTGAGCCTTGCTTCCCCTCTCTTAGGCCAGGGTGTGGAAGAATGAGGCTTTATCTGATGCTCTGTCCAGCATTGGGCAGTGAAGAGAAGACTTGCCCAGGGCAGGAGGGAGGCTCATCTGACCCTGGGGCTATGGGGGCTCCTAATAGTCAGCAAACCAGGCCCCAGCTTTGGGCTTTCCAATGAAAGCTGCACCCGTCCCTCCTTCCCGGCACTTCAGAACCCACTCCTGAGCACCTTGAGGCAATGGGATGTGGGCATGAGATACAATAACTGTTTCTCCACCAGGTGGAGCTGCATCCCTATCTGACCCAGCCCGAGCTCGTGGAGTACTGCAAGTCTAAGGGGATTGTCCTCATCGCATACAGTCCCTTCGGCTGCCCTGCCCTGCCCTGCCCTGCCTTGCCATGGTAAGTAACCCCTAACGTGCGCCCTCGGAGGGTAGATCAAAAGCAGTGGGCTAATCTGGAGGGTGAATACACACAGGACCCAGGCAGTGCTGTTGTCAGTCCTGTCTGCTTGTTAACATTCAGAGATCAGCATTTCCCCCTGCTAGGGAGCCGGATTCCAGTCTGGCTCGGGTATCCCTAGAGTAACCACCGCCTGCATTCCAGCAGGAGCAACTGCCTTGTGAGCGTGGGTACCGGAAGGAAGCCAGGGTGGCTCTGGGATCCCGGGGTGAGGTTTGCACGGCTGTTAGAGGAACACGGTGCACGTGTGATCTGGAGTCACGGACTCCAATGATGTTGATTTCTCAGAGTGGAACCGCCCAGTGAGCTAATCAGAGACGAGCGGGAGGTAGAAGGGGTAGGGGTCTTGCTGCTCCACAGTCCATGCTGGTGACTGGCTAAGCAGCAGTTCTGCAGAAAAGGAGTAGGGGTTACAGTGGACGAGAAGCTGGATATGAGTCAACAGTGTGCCCTTGTTGCCAAGAAGGCTAACGGCATTTTGGGCTGTATAAGTAGGGGCATTGCCAGCAGATTGAGGGATGTGATCATTCCCCTCTATTCGGCATAGGTGAGGCCTCATCTGGAGTAGTGTGTCCAGTTTTGGGCCCCACACTACAAGAACGATGTGGAAAAATTGGAAAGAATCCAGCGGAGGGCAACAAAAATGATTAGGGGGCTGGAGCACATGACTTATGAGGAGCGGCTGAGGGAACTGGGATTGTTTAGTCTACAGAAGAGAAGATGAAGGGGGATTTGATAGCTGCTTTCAACTACCTGAAAGGGGGTTCCAAAGAGGATGGATCTAGACAGTTCTCAGTGGTGGCAGATGACAGAACAAGGAGTAATGGTCTCAAGTTGCAGTGGGGGAGGTTTAGGTTGGATATTAGGAAACACTATTTCACTGGAAGGGTAGTGAAGCACTGGAATGGGTTACCTAGGGAAGTGGTGGAATCTCCTTCCTTAGAGGTTTTTAAGGCCCGGCTTGACAAAGCCCTGGCTGGGATGATTTAGTTGGGGATTGGTCCTGCTTTGAGCAGGGGGTTGGACTAGAACCTCCTGAGGTCCCTTCCAACCCTGATCTTCTATGATTCCATGACTCAGAAAGCACCCGCCTGGGGACAGTAGATGCCCACAGCACACAGTTGTAGCACAAAGAGGCAGTTCTGCCCTGAATTGCCATCGCAGGGCTCTGTGTTGACTGTCTGGCAAATGGAGTGAGTGTGAGCTGGAGGCCTGAGAGGTGTTTCTATAGCCTGGGCTGGCTCTGAGATACAAGCTGGGTCCTCCTCCTTCATGGCTGGTCACCCTGGTCCACCCAGCCAAGGTCTGGCTGAGATCTTCGCTAGGCTAACTGGGTTGGATTCTGCTCTCACTCCAGTTTGATTTCACTGACTTGGGTGGAGTTGCTTGGCCCAAGAGCATTTATTGGATTCTTTTATCTTTATCAAGAGCCTGGCCAACGTAACAGGGGTCCCACTGCGTGATGAGTTCTGGGGTACAGACCCGCCACACGGTGACAAAGCAGGGGAGAGGCTGAGTGAGCTGGGCCAGGGAGGGGTCCTGGCTGTTGTTAGCAGCTGTTGTTTGCACAGCAGCACCAAGGGGCGTTTGTCGACCCTGTCGCTGGCTCAGGGGGAGTGACAGACTCCCTCAGTGCCTTCCCTTCCCTTCCCCGTTTCTCCAGCCAGCAGCAGGAGGCTTTGCTGCCTCCCAGCGGTGCTGTGAAGGCGACTCCCCACCAGCCTTCTGTTTGCAAAGTGCTGCCTGTTCTCCGAGAGCAGCAGCCCTTGTTCAGGACTCTCCATATCCTCTTCCCTTAGCCCTTCGGGGGAGAACAGCCCTGTGCCCCTCCTAGAGAATCCCGCGGTGAAGGAGATCGCTCAGAAGCATGGAAAAACCAGCGCTCAGGTGAGGGGGGGACAGCACTGGCCCCAGTGGTGTTTCTCTATATAGACGTGTAACATCCTCTCTAAGCTACACAGAGGGCCGCGGGGGTTGTGGGTGCAGTGTGGAAAAACCGGTCTCTCTGTCTCTTCATGCTGACTGTGCTCCTCCTGGCCATCGCGCCAGCCACGTATCCTGGCTCACCAGCTCCTGCCCTCTCCGTAGGTTCTCATCCGCTTCCACATTCAGAGGGGCATCACCACCATCCTGAAAAGCAACCTCCTGGCCCGCATCGTGGAGAACGCAGAGGTAACGGGGATGGCTAGCAAGCCGGAAGCCCTCTTCCGCTCCTGGCGATTGGCTGAGGTGTTACTATCACCAGAACAGGGTGAGACGCTTCACACAAGCGACAGCTGGGGACTTGTACCAAAGCCAAGCTGTACCCAGGAGGATTTGAATGGCTAGTTCAAGGGACCCTTAAGTATTGCTAGCCTGAGGATTAGCCCCTCTGTTCGGGGATACGTTTGTAGGCCCTCCGCTTGGAGATCTAAGTGGGTTTGCTCCTCGTAAAAGACACAACACAGAGCAAGGTCTGGCTGTTAAACAGCCTGCGTTGCATGCACGCGCCTCCCGCCCCCTTGTGAGAGGTGGCTCCAGCTGTGACGATGTGGATGAAAACACGTCCAGGCCAGGGAAGCAGCTGTGGGAATAGATTGTGGCCCAGACATCTGGGCGCAGGATTTTTGGCCTTTCACTGAGGAGATGAATGGGTGGCCATGCCCATTTGGTAGAGCTCTGCTGAACAAATGCTCAGGGCCAGGCACCCAACAGAAAATCTGCCCTTAGCCTCAGAGAGAGACACATGCAAAACGTCTGGGCCTGTCTGCTGCGGGGCAAAGCAGAGGGTGAATTTCAGCACAGCAGCTTGCCACACAGTAACCTCCCGTGTGTGCGCTGGGCAAGTCCCACGCCCACACCCTGCCATTCCCCATATCCAGCCTCCTGGTACCACTCTGACTCCAAGGGGCTGCATTTCCCAGCATTATAGAATACCCACCCGTGTCTTCCGTGCTTTGCTGAGGACTTGTGTCTCCCTGTAGACTTGGGAGCACAGAAAACCCTGGCCTTGGAGTCAAAGGCTGTTTCTTCTGCATAGGTATACAACTTTCACCTGACACGCAAAAAAATCCAGACGCTGGAAGGACTAGACTGCAACACGCGATTTATTAAATAGAACCTGGTGGGGTGAGTGATTGAAACAGGCTTGTCTAACTAAAAAAAACGTAGCCTTCAGAGCTCGGCTAACAATATTACACAGGGAAGCTTGCAGGCTAGGAAGCAGTGGGTGCTTTCAGTCATGTGGCACTGAATGGGGATGCAGGAGACCTGGGTTCTATTTCTAGCTTTGCCTCTGGCCTGCTGGGTGACCTGGGACCAGTCACTTCCCATCCTTTGCCTCAGTTTCCCTAAATGCAAAATAGGGATAATGATCCTCTGTTTTCCCTCCACAGGGCTCAAGGTAGATAGGCGGTAGATATTCAGTAGCATCTACTCTTTAAGGCTCTCAGAGCACCTTCCCAACATTAATTAACCCACAGTGAAGTAGGTAAGGGACCAAACCCAGCAGGGATTGTCCCCGTTAGCTTCAGGTAGGGTTGTTCCCAAGCCAGTGTGGTTCTCCCCTATTATAAAGGGAGCTGTTTCCTTTCGGGTGTGAACCCATTCAGAGGCAAGGGATACATCACAAAGGTTTGAGCAGCACATTGACGCTCCAGTGTAATACGTGAGGAGTATTGCTATTGTTTATTTAAGCACTGACCGTAGGCTTGGCCCCCGTGCAATGCACACAATCAAATCTTCCCTCGTGGCAGGGCTCGCAAATAAGGCCCCGATCCTGAAATCGGAGAGGCCAGCGTGGGACCCAAAGAGATTTCATCTGGGTGGAGGGCAGGGGTCGGTAGATGCATAACCCAAGCTAGGAGAATGTGGATTTGATGCTCTCTAGTGGCTGGTGCACAGAGATGTTTCAATCCGCTATAGAGCTGGTTAAAATATAAAGCTGTGTCTTTCTTTCTGAAAATATAAACAAAATGACCCCCACCCTGAAAACCTTGCTACAGAAGTTCTGTTTTTTGACTATAGGAACATTGGAAAAATTTCCCTTCCTCTTCCCTGTTTCCACTGAAAAGAGGGAATGGACCCCAAAAAGAAAACCAGAAGTTTTCAACAGCTGAAAATTTTCAATCAAATTACATTTTCATTTTGATCAAAAAGCCATTTTTAATTGGGGAGGCAGCATTTTTGGTGAAAAATGCTGACCAGCTAAGGCGTGGGTTCCCAACCTTTCCCCTACTGGGTCCCCTCTACCATCTAATCAAATTTAGCTCCTTATATAACACTTTTCAGAAGTAGATCTGAGAGGTCCAGATTCATGAAGGTGCTTAGGCATCCCAACGTCTTAAACCACCCCCCACCTCCCCTGGGGCCCTGCCAACAAGTGGAATTCTCAGCCCAGCTTTGTGAATCTAGTCCAAAGTGACTTGCTTCAGAGTCATCCAAGCAAAACCCACATCTCCCGTGTCCCAGTCCGCTCGGCCATGCTGCAGGAAGGGCAGGGATTTCACAACCAAACTCTGTTGGCGGCCCATGAAGTTGAGCCCCTTTTAGGGTGACCAGATCACCCAAGACAAATATCGGGACGCGGAGGGGGGGGG